AAGCAGCCATGGAGCAATGGAGTCCCAAGACAGCAGTTTACTAGGTTATTTTTATATGAGAAGTTATTTTTTAACATATACATTTTAAAGTAAGCACAGGGGAGACAGCCCATTCAAACACACTCACATTAACCTTATTAGTTCATGTATTTCTGAATCATAGATCCTTTCATTTACAGGGTATTCCTGTGGAGGCTCAACAGCGGTTATGAAAGCCCATAAATAGTAATAGGATATTTCAAAGTTATTAAAGTTCAATTAAAGTCTAATCTCATTTTATTGAAGTGTCACTTGAAATGAAGGGTTTAATTCCACCTCTTATGCAAGCATGCATTAACCCAACTAGGTCATGCCCAGGAAGTCCTAGTGGGGTTTATTATTCAGGTGCTTGTTGACTTTTTAAAAGTAAAAGACTGGGTAAGGCACGGTAGAAAATAAAGCGTTTTCCTCTTCAATCAGCATTTTCATTGAACAACAGATTTTGAAGTTAACAACCAGCCTGCACTACAGAGAGAAACAAACATATGGAAATATAAAAAGGCAAAGATGATACAACACAATAAAAGCTCCTGCACAGCAACAAGGGCAGAGCACTATGTGTTGATGTTTGTCGCGTGTAGGCGAGTGAGTGTAGGTGCGAGCCCCACAAACACTGTTTATAGCTCATGTAAAAGTCCCAGAGTGCAACATCTTGTGCATTATACTGTGTCAAACAACAACATCTGCTATCACTTTGATGTCGGGTTCTGAAAGATGCTTTACCTGAGCGATGATATGAAATGCAGACAGACAAAATGAAGAACAAGACTACGTGGGAGGTTTTCCAGGTGAGAGCTGTTGGTGTTTTTCCTTGATGGAATGAGATGAAAGAATGGGTACAAAGTAGCCTACAATAAAATCAAAGTGAATATAAACACAGAAAAATAACAAGTCTTAACAGGGGACAGTGACATATATTGGAAAAAAAAACATGAAATGAATGGACGTTCTTAAAATGCAATCTTGATAAGCACCACTTACCTTCTGCTCTCCCACAAGTCGATATGTTAAGAGAAAGACAAAAACCTTTGTCACAAGACAGATTTAGGGTACACTTAATACTTAACATGTATTAATGCTATGTCATCATAAGAGGCCGACAGCATTCATTGTAAATTAGCTTTACTTTTAACTTAGCTTAACTGTGTGAGTAACGCTGAATGCAATGCCAAAAGTTCAAGGGCTGATGGAAGTGCTCAGCGCTGACTCATTTAATTTGGGTTTGACATACTTACGTGTTTGGAAATGTTACAGCTTCTGGAGTCCACATTGTACCTTTGAGAAACAAATAGGAGAAGAGATTGGAAACAATTTGGTCAATTAAAGGGATTTAGTGGAACTACCTGTACTGGTCCACTGTAAAAAAAAATAGCTGTTCAAAAGAGGTTAGGGTTAACTTCCTTGATAAAGCATTTTCTGTCTTCCATTATAGGCAAGGCAAGTTTATTTATATAGCACCTTTCAACACAAGGCAATTCAAAGTTCTTTACAAAAATGAAAGACATTAAGAGCATTAAGAAACATATTATAAAATTATATCTAGAAACACTCATTTAAAAGCAATGATATAAAATGACGTTTAAAAACACTCACTTAAAAGCAAAGCTAATAAAAGTTACAGTGCAGTTTAAGATAATAATATATCAATTAAAAGCAGTGGCAAAAAGAAAAGTCTTCTGCCTGGATTTAAAAGTATTAAGAGTTGCAGCGGACCAGCAGGTTTCTGGGAGTTTGTTCCAGATATTTGGAGCATAATAACTGAATGCTGTGTGTATATAATACACACAATAATTAGCATAATCAATTTGCAAATAAACTAAATGAATGAACATTGAACACAATTAAATGCATGATTTTATTTAATTTAAAACTCTCCATTGTATCACAATAAAATTACTGACGAGAATCATTTTTGCCACGATAACTTTACATTTATATCAAGATCGCCCTATTCAGCACTGTACCACAAAAGGCTAAGCTAGCTAGCTTGTTTGTTTGTTAAGATACTCTTACGTTTATTTCTACACTGAACAAAAATATAAACGCAACACTTTTGTTTTTGCTCCCATTTTTCATGAGATGAACTCAAAGATCTAAAACATTTTCTACATACACAAAATAACCATTTCTTTCAAATATTGTTCACAAATCTGAAAAAATCTGTGATAGTGAGCACTTCTCCTTTGCCGAGGTAATCCATCCCACCTCACAGGTGTGGCATATCAAGATGATGATTAGACAGCATGATTATATTGCACAGGTG